TGAATCAACCAACCAACCAACCAATCAATCAATCAATAAACAAATTAATTAATCAATTATGTTTCGGAGGGGAAAATACCATTAAAAATTGTTTTTAAAACAACTGATTTATATTATTGTATGAACACTTTTTCTGAAAAAAAAATCCACATGCATGTTATCTGATCTTCTCTGAAACTACATGTCCAATTGACCTCAGTCAGTCAGCAGGGTATACATGTATTACATCTTCATAGAACAACGTGGTGCAGCTACCTCCTAAGAATTTCCGTAGAGAAAAGAAATTGCAATGCCGTTAAAATCGCTTGCTAGCTCCGTAAATCTCAGGGAAATCCTACAATAAAATGTCTGCTCCTAGATTAAAATACAAATCTCTGTTACAAACTGCTGCTGAAATATGTACATTGTACGAAAATAATCGATAAACGTGTTTTAAAGTTACACAGAATCAATTAAATCAAAAGCATGCACTGCTCGTGAACTGTGATCAAAACGTCAATTACCTACAATAACAAAAGAAATACATTGTGTGTATTCTGTCGCTATACATGTTATCTGTCCAACGTCTCCACCTAAAAAGAAATAAAAATACCAAAGTTTTCGCTATTATAAAGCTTCGTCACGTGACGCCACAATTTGGCGCGAGACAAATACGCGCGCGGGACCTGAAATAGAATAAAAACTTTCCAACTAACTAAATATAGAAACTAAACCAACACACTAATATGAACCCTTTAAAGAAAGAAACAAACAAACAAACACACACATATCAATCAATCATGTTTCAGATGGGGGAAAGACCGTTTACAATTGCTTTTTTAAAGCAATTGATTTATATTTTATGTTTATATCCCTTATATGGGCATCGGTGGTTTTCTGGAGGTCAACCGACAGTTAATTAGTTGGCGTTTAGACTAAAATACACACAGAACGAAGCTACATATTATCGACCCAATGCCCTGAAAATTGTTTATTTTAGATTTTTTATAATTTGGATAAATGTTTTACCTTGTTATATAACACAGTGAACATGAATTTGACAGCTAGTGCCCCTTTAAAACTTTTAATTTCTTACAAATAATACTTTCCCAAACTTAATTTAAATGTCAGCACAGGAGCAGATCTTTGAATACCAATCGCTAGAAAAATGATAATTTAAGAAAATCCATTCCCCTGATCACAGGCACTTGATGTTATATCAATAGTAATAGAATATTGCCAATGGGAAGAAAATACTAGTGCCTGTATGGACATGAATGAAATGTTAAAAATGTACTTGCTAACGATGCACAAGTTAATTTATATAATTAAATTAATATCATTTTATTTGATACCTGATAACTATAAAATATCTATATGGACAACGTACATGTATAGTAAATTTTGTAAATCACAGAAAAAAGTACATAATTGTATATCCATCCATGACAAAAAATTAGAAAATCCATACAGTTCTGATTTCAATATCCATGATATCATTCAACTTTTACATTTAGTACAAGGCTAGGGCTTTTATTGCCTTTAGACTTTAAAGTTTTAGTCTGAAAACATGGCAAAAGGGAAGGGGGAGTCTTCCTTATAAATGAGAAATATTATGAATCAGTCGAGTTTGCCATGGTGGGAGGGGTGGGTTGAACTACGAAAATTACGTCCCTACCAAAAATCGACTCGTGATCAAAATGAATATATTTGTCAGTAATTTGAAGTGTAAACACATGGTAAACGGAGCTTAATTAATGGTTTGTTCATTTGTTAACATGTTTTAGATTCGACAGTCAAAGAGTTTTTACGACTATACTATATGATACATACACGAACGAACATATGCAAGAGTATCCCTGCTGTGTTATGTCAGTTATCTTACTTGTCTTTGGTCTCGTGCAAAAATAACGAAATTTGTGTGGTCATGCTTTCGATTTTCAATACACTAGAAAAACTATAAGTCGAATAAGCCCACATATTAGGGAGAACGCCGGGCGGAAATCTATTTTAAGTGAAAACAGCTAGTTTTTAGACTTTATGCATCTTTATTAGCTTTCGTACTCAAAATTAGCTGTCCGTCGCTATTTTTCGCCGTTGTCACTAACTATCGTTTTTCCGTTCGTCAAATTAGACCTTTTCCTGTAATCCCTTTGATACCATCAGATAACGACGGCCCTTTAACAATTAGATTTAATGAGAAGAGCTCGCGATCGTAAACGTTGTTCTGAAGTTATATAACGTAATTGATAATGTATACATTTAAAAAAGCAATTAAAATGAAGTTTCAAATAGGACAATACGATAATTATTGTATCTGTCTCTTATTTACGATGGTATAGACCTTTTCCTTTCATAAATTCATGAAATTGAAATTATGTATCAATTGGACATGTTCGGGTATACCTGCAAACGTGAACGATTTTTCACTTATTGTCACAGGGGAAAAGCATATTTGTAAAACAGAAAAAAATAAAGAGCTGCGCCATGAGAGCATGATACGCTCGTCGTTTTTTCAAAGAATAAAGTTCCATAACTCCTCAATGTCATATCAGAAATTTATAAAAAAAAAAAACAAAAAAAAAAACTAAAGGGCGGTTATTTTAATAGATATAAACCAGTCATCAAAGTTTCATGAAAACTGCTCAAAGCACTTTTGAGTTATTGTCCGAAAACTGGAAAATCCCCCCTTTTTATGAATAAAATTGCATATCTTGGAACCGTAAAATCTAAAATTTATAAAAATCAAAAGGGAGCTTACGTCATTAGATATAAACAATTCACCAAAGTTTCATGAAAACTGCTTAAAGCTTATGAGTTATTGTCCGAAAACTAGAAAATCCCCCTTTTTGATGAATAGAACCCAACAACTCGGAAAAGTAAAATCCAAAATTTATAAAAATGTAAAGGAAGCTTACTTAAATAGATATCAGCAATTCACCAAAGTTTCATGCAAATTAGTTAAAGCGTTTTTGAGTTATTGTCCGACATGTTGACGACGGACGGACAGACGGAGGGACAGACAGACGGTCGAACGGACAAACAACGGTATACCATAATACGTCTCGGAAACGGGCGTATAAAAAAACTAATTAAAACGGAATAACTAGGAACTATTGTGTGCCTTTCGAATGTTACTGCGTAAAGTCCAAAAACTTTGACTTGTTCTTGTATATGTCACAAACACACGATACATACACGCACCTCGGTACTTTGTGTCTTTTGTGTTTATGTAACAAGTATTTCCTTCGAATTTCGTGCAAATCTGATGATTCAGGCAATTTCAAAACTGACTTTTACAGTTTGTTCTTATAATATGATGTCCCAACACCACTGTACAAGGTTAGGGGAAGGTTGAGCGCTTTCAAACATGTTTAATCCCGTCACATTCTTTAGTTAAAACAGTCATTGCCATATGTTGCTGTTAGTCATATTTGTTATTCGTGTATTGGTTTGTCGTAATTCAGAACGTTGGATATCTCGTTTGAAATGTTTTACTTGTTGTCATGTCAGAGCTTTTTATAGCTAACTATACGGTATTTATCTTGTTCATTGTTGACGACTTTACGGTGTCCTATAGTTCCTTGTATTCATGTAATTTGGCATATGGTGGATAATCGGCAATCATACCACATTACTTTATTTCTAAATACTAAAAATTCAATCTATTGTTGTATCCATGTCTAAAAGCTTGATGCATAATCTATCATTACAATTCGTATGCTTAAATCTTTCGAACTATTTTGTTATAATTCTAGATGAATGAATATAGAAAAATAATATCTGCAATTTTACTTTATTATATGATGATATAGTTAAAGCTTAGCACACACTTATTGAGAATGCACTATGCCTCGAATTCTTTTCAGTCCTCATAATGATATGAAATCTGCAAAGAAGAAAAAAAAAACTCTAATTATAAAAAGAAAATATATAAAGCGGTTAATTTTTTCTGTATTTGATTGATATAGTAATGTTTTATAATGCAATTAGTTTCATGTAACTATGTATTGCTAGGTCAAAAGTAAAATAACAAAAATACCGGACTACAAGGGAAATTCAAAACGGAAAGTCCTTAATAAAAATCAAAAGCTCAATCACATCTAACGAATGGAAAACATATTCATGACTTGTTACAGGCATTTCCTTAGGTAGAAAATGGTTTTATAGCTAGCTAAACCTCTCCATTGTATGACAGTCGCTTTGAGTTCCATTATATTGACAGCAATGTGTGAGCAAAACAAACAGACATAATAGGTAAAAAAGTAAAAAATATGGATACAGAATATATAATCTTAATCACTATAAAAACAAACTATGTTGTATGGTTCTTAATCAATTGAATGACGTTTGTTTTACATCCACTTGTAAATGATACATGTACATGCAAAACATTCGAAATGCGATAAAAAAAAACGGTTTTGCTTAGTCCAACCTGCTAAATCGTATTTCAGTTTGCAATTTTAAAATGTTACGTAATAGTCCACAGGAAGGCATATTGACATCTATTAATAATGTTCTTTTTATATCCAGTATACGCACGTGTGAACATTGAGCGCATTGAATGGAGCAGCACGGATGACAAATAAATTATCGAAAAACGAATACTGTTTAGCAAATCAAATACGGAATCCCGAAGTATTCCTGTCTAGGAATATATTTGGAACGAAAAGTTGCAGATACCTTAAAATTTAATGCGGAAAAAAACAACGGTAATGTTTGTGTATTAGACAAATCAAATATTTTGTATTGAACTTTTCATTTTAGACACTAGTGTATAACAAAAGTATCTGAATATTATACTCTTATTATTTTAATATAAAATTACAGAATAAAAAGTAAATGCTGTGCACTGCTATTCCTTAACAATAAGTAAACAAAGCAAATAAAGTAGTGTTTGCTACTAAATAAAGATAAAGCAGTTAAGTTTTTTTTAATTTATTTAAAAAAAAAAAAAAAAAACAAAGAACAATATCATGATTCCTATATTACGACTTCTATACATGTAATGCGATGATTTAAAATTAACACAAGTTAAAGCAAGTAAACTCACCACACATAGGTATCTTACAATATTCCCAACGTTTGGTTGGATCTATTGTATAACACCATGGTTGTCCGCTGTTGTTAGGATTTCTACAGTAATTATGTTTCGTTTTAAGCTTGCTAAACACGTGTTTGTGTGGATATTGCCGTTCCCAATGCTGACAGGTACGCCCAGTTTGTGTCAAACTAATTCGACCTTTGTATTCCGTACCCTTTGTGGATTTTCGACATTCTGAAATATTTATGAATAAATTGAGATGTGGTTTATACGTCATTGAGCCTGCAATTCAACGACAAAGCAAATGACGTTAATAGAACAACACACTTTAAGGTTGTCTTCAACAATTGATCGATTTCATTTATATTTTTTTTAACTGAAAATGGAATTTTCCCAAGCATCACAATCCTGATAATCGATTTGTCATTCTTCAGACAACATATGTGTATCGATTTTTATAACAAGCTAATCTAAAAGGAAGTGGTATGATTACCAATAAGACAACTCTCAAAATGAAGTAGACGTTAGCTACTTTAGGTCTTCTGTTGTGAAGGTTTTTATGGTCCTTTTTGTTGTATACTTCACAGGGGAACACTTGTTAAGGTGGGACTATGATTGTGCTTTATGACTTCTATATTGATAAACATGATGGTGATTTCCCTTCTCTCGTATGTTAAGTTCTTCTACGGTTCTTGTAGGTAGAAAGATGTCTGGGCATCTGGGGACTACATGTCGTTGTTATGGACTGGCTTGGCAGCGAGAGTGGGACTCGCGCCTTCCAACCCTTTTTAATGAAATAAATAAGACAACTCAATTTGCTGGTAGGAACAAGGATAGTTTAATTATTCTTTTCTTTTCTTTTTGATCATAAAATATCACAGTGCATAAATCATACAGATTAACAATAAATAACATTATCAGTTGACAATAACATATGTATTTCTATTTCAAATATTGCTTGAATTACCTTGTAAACTACGTTCATTCTATTTGTTATACATGAGTGAATAACCTCATGAAACGCAATGACTAAAATGTTATATCTGAATATATATATTTATATTTATATTTATTGAATTATATAGCAATTAATTTCTTTCTTTAAATAAGTTTAAGTAACAGTATATAACTTACCTTTTTAATGAAATAAATAAGACAACTCAATTTGCTGGTAGGAACAAGGATAGTACGGACAGTAGACTTATATTTGCTTTTATAGTCACTATTGAATACCCGACATTCTTGTTCCCCAGCCGAAATTGAGCTTCTTTTGCAAACGATGGAATTTGCTGCCAAAACATTTATTGCTTCATAATATGCAAAATGCATTTATTTGTTTTTGAAAAGCATCAGAATTATGTTTTCTAAAATTAAAAAGAATAATATTTCTGGAAGAATTTTAATTTCTGATCTTAATAATAAAAGATAATTAAAAATTTGTTACATTTTAATTATTATCTTGTATACATCAATCTTCGTATCTCAGCTGTTTGATTGGTTGTTAATAACATTCTCGTGTGCCTTAATGTATTACTGAATATTCATGATTCTGAGAATATGGTTATAACCTTGGATGTAATAGCAATTCGACATACATCTGTCCGGCAACCTAATAACCTTCTTTACGCGTGCCAAATAACTTATTTAATGAGGTTCTTGACTTTGTACTATTACTGATTATCTTGCATCTAAAATAAAGTTCGTTTTTCTTACGAATCTTGATCTATTTTACTCATGTATTTTCTTCTTATATCAACGAATTATTTGAAATTTATATTCCATTTTACTTTTCACTATCTTAAAAAACTAGAAATATATTTGTTTGTTTAACTAATATCTCCTTGATTTTAATTTCTAATTATTTCGAATAACGTCCTAAATCCTTTCATAACATTACCCCCTTGTTAGGTTTGAAATCTCCTGATTTCAATTTTTTTTTATATCATTTTTGTTTTGACACTATTAATATCCTATTTATTTTGTGTAAGGTAATTTTTATCTATTTAAATTTTCTGGCAATAAATGAAACATAAATACATACACATACATAAAAATATAAAATGCATGCACAATCATAATAAATTTTATTAATTAAACGGTACCAATCCTCTTCTGTGGATCTGAAATCCACCTGCGAAATATTGGAGATCTGTCTCTGGATGTACTCCAACTCGCGACAATGAGTCATATGGAGATCTGTGTTTTATGTACTCCACATGTAAGGGAATAAAAAAAAATCACTCCCTCTCTCTCTTAGTCATTTGTACCTCAGTGAATTTAAGTTAATATGTTTGTTATAAAGTTTATACTAATGATTTTATTTTTAGTAATTTTTGACTATTTATTTATAAGATCGGACTTGATCGTATGAATTCCTCCATGTTAATATAATGTTTACATTTTTTTTTTTTTTTTTTTTTTCATTTTTTTTATTTTACTTCATTGATGTTTTTTTTTTTTTATTATTTTTAATTCGTTTATTTCTCTACTCACCTTTGTGTGCGTTAGAATTGTTATAAAATCTGTTTTAAAGAAGTATATATAGGTTATCATTATAATCTGATCTGTTATTGAAGTTAATCTAACTATTTGTCTATATGATAGATTGTTCAGAAATCTCAACCTGTTTCTGAAGGCAAATGTTTAGAATAACGTTTCTTGATTGCTCTTGCGTGCCAAAAAAAAAAAATGTATTGCACTCTTGATTCTTTATCAAAACATATGTTTATATCTCTGACCATCTTACATTACGTACTTATCAACAAAGTACCAACAAAGTACCAACGCATGTTTAATTGTCTGACAAATTATTTTCTATTATAATCTCTGTCATATATTTATATAGTTTGCACTTCACTCTCTAAATTGTATTATGTATTTATCGCTTACTTTTCTTTAAATATCTTCGTCGACTACGCTTTTAATATTTTTTTCTTTTAGTTAAACGACTACAACAAAAACGAAAAGGATATGCTGCAATTGCTACATGTATAAACATCTTTTATTTAGATTGATTTAATCATTTTGTCCACTCGAGTAGACTATGAGCATGTGGCCTTGGGCTCTTATTTTTGCTCACTGATTGGGATTTTGTCTCCTTGACATTTTCCTCGTTTCCATTCTCAATTTTATTAATATAATTTTCAATTCCATACTTAATTCTTTTGGCCATTAATTAAGAGTTCGTGCTACTCATGATCTAGGTTAAATATGTTCTTGCTTTATTATCTAGTCTTGAATTATACTCTTTTATAAGAGACACATTATATTACGTCTCGAGTTATATTTTTCTAAAACAGACCTAATATTGCAAAAGTTAACCTTTTTCATTACCCATTGAAAAGGTCAGAACTGAGAAGTACACTTAACAAACGTAGTAACAACACCCTTGCCATGCCTACAATATAAAAGGATCGAAGTTAGGTACCGTAACTTCAAAATTATAGGCAACATAACGTTTTCGGCAGAAAGTAATTTTGTCACTACGCTGAAAGTCTTCCTCTTAGACAGTTCCACCAACGAATGAGATTGAATAGAATAAATGTGCAATGTTTAATATTGTCGTTTCTTCTTAAGACGATTTTGAATCACGGTTGAAATATATATTTGTTTAAGTGCGTCTGAAACATTACCATTTGGTTCCCAAGTGGGGGTAGATCTGTCTGCCCATTGTACCAAGTAATGTCTTTTACCTGATATTAATTTGGATTTTAATAATTTAGTTACTTCAAACCACGTGTTCTTTGTTGAGTTATCGTTGTTACTATTTTTAGTACCATCAGGTGTATTGTCTGATTTCTTATCAGAATTACTGTTATCTCTTTGTTTATTTATACTAGTATCACGTGTCTGTGATTGCTGTACTGATTGATCTGACGCAACTTTTGAATAGACTGGTGTGTCTGATACATTATTGTCGTCAGTCTTCTCATCAATACGCGGATCCGAATGATTATCAGCCTGTGGTCTGTAATCTCGTGGATCTTTGTACGGTTTTAACCTATTAGCATGAACTAACGGTTTCATCAATTTATGTGACTGCAGTTCACATATTTTGTACGTATCATTTGATCCGCACCGTACTATGTAATAAGGGCCCATCCATTTCGGTTCCAGTTTCTTTTTCTTACCGGACCGAATCTTCATTATTTTTAAATAAACATGATCTCCAACTACAAATTTTGGAATTTTTGACTTTTTATCATAATATATTTTACTTTTTAATTGCGCCTCTTTCATATTCTCTTTAGCCGTTTCATGGATAATTTTGACCTTTTTAATCAGTTCATCAATGAACTGTTTGGGTTCTGTTTCCATTTTTTGTGTGGGGATCAATTGAGTATCGATAGGTTAAATCATTTCTTTCCCAAATAGGACATAATAAGGCGAATATCCTATGGATTGGGTGACTGGCGTCATTCGAAATGCCATCATTACACTAGGCAACACTTCATCCCACGTGTCCTTTTCCAATGTATCCATTGGATAACGCTTTCAAGGACAGGGCTAATGTGAATTTACTCTTTCGCATGATGAGTTCGTTTGCGGGTAAATAGAGCCAGCTACAATACCTCACAAAGTTTACTCGTAGCGATAAGTAGCATGTTCCCTCATTATTTGTAACGGGGAACCATATCTTTTGAAGATTTCTTTATATAGCACGTCTGCTATATGTTTCGCCTCCTGACTTTTCAGGGGGAAGCACTCCGGCCAGTGACTCAGACTGTCTGTGACCAAGAGGATAACTGAATTCCCAGAACGGGATTTGCATAATCCTTCAAGGATATCGACATGAATACGTTCGAAAACGTTTATCACTGGCATAGGATGTAAGGGCGCTCGCATCTGTGGACTAGATTTTACTTCCTGACATGTTTTACACGATGTCACGTAATATAAACTTGTTGATACATGCCAGGCCAATAGTACTTAGCTTTTATAGCTTCATAACTCTTAATAACACCTAGGTGGCAATAATTATCGTGAAATGCAATTCTTATGCTATTTCGTAATTCTTCCGGTACTGCAATTTGTAATAAAACTTCTCCCCTCTTTGTTTTTTGTTTTGCGCGGGGTTGAAAAACGTGGTATAAAACTTCATTAAGCATTTCATACTGCATGCTTTCATAAGGAATATTTTTCTTTTTATCTATATTATCAGGTAATGTACCTTCCAATAGGTACTCATAGATGTATTTGAAATATGGACATTGTCTCTGTTTTATCCCTATATTTTTCGGAACAGTGTCTATGTATGCAATGTTATTAATAGTTGGTAATGTAGAGACCTGGGAATCTTTATGAATAAGTCTGAATGAATGAGAGTTATCTCAAAAAAATTGTCTTGGAGGAATAGGTGCATCGTTTGAAAGGTCTTCAGAATTTTATTTTAGTAAGGATTAGGCAATCAATTTTTTAAGAATATAATTTTATATATATTTTTTTTTTATCATATATATTATTTACTTGTTAAACTTCCGATTGTTTCATCCCTTTTTGTCAAACTATTCAATATATTTTTTTTTATATCAGATATAAATCACGAGAGCAATCAGTTGGTCAGTTACTCGAATTTAGTTAATATTACACTACAAATTATACTTATGTGTGTTATGCAGTAAATTTATTGACCAAAATGGTCAAAACCGGATCAACAACTTAAAACTTAAAACTTATAAAGAAATTTTGGATAAATATAGTTTTTTCGCTTGAATGTGGAAATCGTTTATTAGTGTTACCGTGATGATTTAAAATAGACAAAAATAAATAAAGATTCAGTTAAACTTTTTATACATTGCAATTTGCAATGAAAAAGCAATCACCACAAAAGATACATGTATCTAACGGTAAAGTTATATATTATATATTGTATTTGAATTGTCATGACATGTCACATTTTTTTTTTTTTTTAATTTCGTTCAGAAATATTCAAATTTGATTTTTGTTTATACAAATAATTTATTTACTTATTTTAATTGTTTTTCTTTTATTCTTTTTAACTGGTGTTTTAGTAGAGAGAGAAATATAGTAAAAGCAACAATCTTACCGTACATGTGAATACAAATATATACGAATTAAATTACTGTCCATAGATAATATTGCAACTTTTGCTAGAAAATATAATATTGTTCGTGCGTGATTTAATAGTCTCTTCTGTTTTATCCTTCGGGTTGTCACACAGTTGTGTATTGGTAACTGATTGTATCTGTCTCTGTAAGAATAGGACGAATCTTCATGGTAAAACATAGTTTTGTTTTGAGATTCAGGCTCACTGAATTGAGGTTTTGTAGTTGCTATCTCTCTAGTGGCGATTGGCTGGTATGATATTGTTCCTAACATCACATAGGTAAATTCTTATGAATTGGTTTATGGTACTGTTTGTCTTCTATTTGTGTACTATCCGTTTACTGAAATATTTTTGTGATAGTTTAAACTCGTAGCAGCAGTTGTTATACTCCTCGTGGTTGATAAATTTCTGTTTCCACCTGTGGTATTGAAAATTTATGCAAGGTCGTTTGCATCGTCTCTTCCTTTGTTTTTATAAAGAAGGTTCGAGTCCTCTACCAGTTGTTGTGAGTTGGTTTTTATGGTCCTTTTTGTTGTATACTTCACAGGGGAACACTTGTTAAGGTGGGACTATGATTGTGCTTTATGACTTCTATATTGATAAACATGATGGTGATTTCCCTTCTCTCGTATGTTAAGTTCTTCTACGGTTCTTGTAGGTAGAAAGATGTCTGGGCATCTGGGGACTACATGTCGTTGTTATGGACTGGCTTGGCAGCGAGAGTGGGACTCGCGCCTTCCGACCCTTTTTAATGAAATAAATAAGACAACTCAATTTGCTGGTAGGAACAAGGATAGTTTAATTATTCTTTTCTTTTCTTTTTGATCATAAAATATCACAGTGCATAAATCATACAGATTAACAATAAATAACATTATCAGTTGACAATAACATATGTATTTCTATTTCAAATATTGCTTGAATTACCTTGTAAACTACGTTCATTCTATTTGTTATACATGAGTGAATAACCTCATGAAACGCAATGACTAAAATGTTATATCTGAATATATATATTTATATTTATATTTATTGAATTATATAGCAATTAATTTCTTTCTTTAAATAAGTTTAAGTAACAGTATATAACTTACCTTTTTAATGAAATAAATAAGACAACTCAATTTGCTGGTAGGAACAAAGATAGTACGGACAGTAGACTTATATTTGCTTTTATAGTCACTATTGAATACCCGACATTCTTGTTCCCCAGCCGAAATTGAGCTTCTTTTGCAAACGATGGAATTTGCTGCCAAAACATTTATTGCTTCATAATATGCAAAATGCATTTATTTGTTTTTGAAAAGCATCAGAATTATGTTTTCTAAAATTAAAAAGAATAATATTTCTGGAAGAATTTTAATTTCTGATCTTAATAATAAAAGATAATTAAAAATTTGTTACATTTTAATTATTATCTTGTATACATCAATCTTCGTATCTCAGCTGTTTGATTGGTTGTTAATAACATTCTCGTGTGCCTTAATGTATTACTGAATATTCATGATTCTGAGAATATGGTTATAACCTTGGATGTAATAGCAATTCGACATACATCTGTCCGGCAACCTAATAACCTTCTTTACTCGTGCCAAATAACTTATTTAATGAGGTTCTTGACTTTGTACTATTACTGATTATCTTGCATCTAAAATAAAGTTCGTTTTTCTTACGAATCTTGATCTATTTTACTCATGTATTTTCTTCTTATATCAACGAATTATTTGAAATTTATATTCCATTTTACTTTTCACTATCTTAAAAAACTAGAAATATATTTGTTTGTTTAACTAATATCTCCTTGATTTTAATTTCTAATTATTTCGAATAACGTCCTAAATCCTTTCATAACACTTCCACAATGATCAACACATATACCACATAGAAAGCTATTAAAGGCCCCGAAATGACAAAGGTAAATCGAATTCAAACGAGAAATCTTGTACTCGTAAAGGACGATGCATGAAGTTCTATTACTGGACGTTAAAAATAATATTTTGAATATAGTATGAATTAGTTTCAACATAACATGTTCAAAAGCTGCATTCATTTTCTTGAAGTTGTTTTAAAGTGTATACGAATGAAAGTAACTCTTGCATATTTCAAAGTTTAAATGAATAGATTTATAATTAAAAAAAAAGAAGTTGTGTGTATATGCCACAAAATTATGTCGAAATACGCAGCTCTTGAGTAAAAAAGATACCATTATATAAAACTACTATATTAATTTATAATGAATTTATTTTGACTTAATTTGGAGAAAATACTCACCATCAACATTCTCTGGATCTTCAGGTGCTTTGTATAAAAAAAAATAAATACACTTTATTCTAATTTCAATTTCGAAGAATAATCCCATTTATATATTTGATACATATTTTTCCTTAAAGTTTGATAAAGATAATTTAAAAAGAAATGTATTAAAGTTCGTTCACATTGCCTAAAATATTAAATAGGATTATTTTGTAAACATATCAATGAACCAGTAAAAAAAATGTTATGTATCGCTTACTCTAAGGAAATGTGTGCAGATTCATGTCACTATATGACAGTCATATCTGCAAAGATCCGTATCGTTTACTGGGTAACAATCACACCAAAAAATAAATCTGCATATCATATTCAATACTACTGTTGTGATGTATTAAGACCAAAATCATTTAAGGACCAACTCCTGTCCCCGTCCAAAAAGAAATAATAATAAAAAGAAAAAAAATAGGAAAATTCTACAAAGACAACGGGTGTTGACTATTTATTGAATTCGATCGTAGTTCATTATGATGTGTTCAAAGAAAGCCTCACAAATAGTTCAAAGAAATATACACATGCTGAAATGGATCCTGTCCAACTGATCTTCAAAACACGATTTAACTTAAAATTTAGATATACATATACCTTTTGGTCTGCACATTTTGTTACCTTTATTTTTCATTAAAATTGATTCCATTCATGAGATTTAAACATCGTTAAAATACCGTTGGATTTTATTATGTAATAGGGTAACGAAAGTAACAAATTGCTTTCCAACAAATACTCTTTAAAATTAACACCCCGCATCACATGTTACGGATTTAACATCTCAAAGTTGATAAGATATTTCAGATTGCATTTTTATTCAAAATTGGATTACAAATTTCAGCGTTGATCAGATATACCAGCTATTACCAATGCAATAAATAGATTAACTTAAAAAAAATATGCAACTAAGTTAAGACACATTTTTATAAATTTAAAGTAAAAGTGTTATAGAAGCTATCACGACTTTGTTGATTGTTTTGGAAAATCCATGTTTTAACAATCTCTTGTACTTATTCTGTAGAAACAACCCCACTTTGGTTACTTATGACACATCAAGAAGTTGGCCCGGTAAGACTTTTTTTTTGGCCCAAAAATATAGCATTTTTACGAATTTGTTAAGAATATAAACTTTTAGCTAATATTTGGAAAGTAGAATATTTTTGTTACATAAATATTGACTTTTTTGACAATACAATGCACATGCATCAGGTACTAGCATCATGAATTGATGAAAAATTACTTTAATCTTCACAATTTTAGCATTTGTGCTAATATGTAGACAGTTTTTGTCTAAAACGGAAGTGACCGCACTTGTATTCAGTCTTAATATTTAAATATATGTTGTATTTGATGATAACACATAACATGTATGTGGCCGTTTATATTCTAGACAAAAACCATCTGAAAAATGACGTTTTATGGCATATTTGATAAATTATTTTTATATTCAAGCTGGAAGCGTGTTTAATGACAAAATCTAATACATAAACTAATTGAATTGACTGAAGAAAACACTTTTTAATTTAAAAAGGTCAAAAATCTTTTATCAGAAATACTTCAAATTTCAGGCCAAAACTAGCTGTTACCGGACCTTCTCCTTTCTGATTAATAATCAATTTTACAATTCTTCTATTATAATGATACTACAGCTCCAATTTGGTTATTCCCAGACGACTAACCGGTCTCAATCCTTTTGGAGTTCATGCGATCCCAGTTTTGTTTCTTACCTTGATTTTCTTGATTTTATTCGATTTACGAGATTTGATTATCGGAAAACAACTACTATCGCCTGAATTCATGACTTCCCGAGTTTTACTTATGACTTATGCGAAAAAGTTCATTTGATTTTAAGGATGTACTTAGGTGAAATTAAAAAAAAATCTAGGATTTAAAATTGATACTTTAACTTAGAAGAGCTTTAGTTAAGGAACAAAATAAGCTAAACATATTGATAGGTCATGGAGCTCCTTTTCGAGATATTTAATTTTTTTTAAATGGCGGGAAAAGGCTGTCTCGGGCTTTTAACTTCTATTTTCATCGGTGTTATTTTGGTGTTAAATCGAAGGAAAAGAAATTTAAGATCTGCTTAAATTTTGGTAAAAGACCTTTTATGAGCTATTGAAGTCTTATATGGAAAGACAAATATGTGTCATTGGGCAAACTATTTTACCCTGTACCGAAGGAAAAAAACCAAGGAGTCCGAACATCTGACAAAAATTCCTAAACCAGACCTAAGTACATCCTTAATTATAATTTCAAGTTCATTTTATTGAAATGGTAAGTACTATGGTATATTTAACGATTTTGTTTTGTATGTGTACTTATGTGGGCTTATTTTACACATCAATTAACTCCGTAAAAATAATAACTAGATTGTTTTATTTTTGTTTTGTTTACTTTACTTTATCAAATATTGACAAAGTTCAATAGGGCTTGGGTATATCGAATGTTTGTTACGAAAAACTTAAAAAAAGCTACCTTAAAAATGTTTTCAATGTAAAGTAATGGGACATACTGGCAACATAAATTAACTTTTGATACATTTCGTGTGTCCAAAGCGCGTTTCAGAATTGATCCTCATCTTGAACGCTCAAACTCTTTTTTTATAAACCAACATTGTATAAATAGGTAGAACCGTTAGGAACTATATGACCAAGTGAGATCTATAAGAATAGACAAATTCCTCCAAGGTCAACTTTGCATGATGGAGTAAAATATTAAGTTCAATACACACCAGTCAAAACCGTCTAAGGTCAAAAATCAGCCTTATCTGAGTAAGTTTAAATATAAATTATAGGGCAATTACAAAAAACATATTTCAATTGAAGGTTCTGCCATCACCGTACCCTTTGTTATGACAGAAGTGCAAGACAAAATCACTATATAAAACAGCTAATGTACTTACGAGTGCAAACATCTACACCATTTCCCTTGAACTTCTTTTTACATATACATCTATATTGTCCTCTTCGGAGACGACATTTAGCATTTTGATGACAAATTTGTTGTTTAACAACTGTCAAAGTTGGTTTCCCGTTTTCTCTGGAACACTTGGTTACAATTGTGCAGTCTGATGAAGTTAATTGCTTTCCAAGCTAAGAAAAAATTAATTTAAGTAAGTTGACAACCAGAAAATCTTTATGAATGGAAATATTATCAGCTTTTTAGTACCAAAAATTATTTGTCAGTTTGATGGAAACAAAATAATTTTTTACAAAATTAAAGTTCCCTCTACATTTACTTAATATATGAATAAAACAAAATGTTGCTAATACTCCTATGAAACAGTTTTGACAAAGGTCACCATACAATGTGGGTCGAGTCATACAAAATGCTGGTGGCTTTGTTCGGGCATAGCTTGATAACTAGTATGTTGTACTTAATGGAATTTGGTTTTGATGGCAGATCTTTAAAACTCTAAGTGTGTTTGTTACTAGATAGACCCAAATATATTGTATATTGCTGAATACAGTATGCTGATTTGTAGGTAGTTTTTGAATGTTGACTTTGCTGGTTTATTAACCCGTACTGCACATCTTCTTTGCTTGATGTCAGGTTCTGTTTAGTTCTTAAAATATTAATTAAGATTCAAGCTTATTAGTTAGATGTTATTGTAAATATAAGTCCCTTTCCTATACAATTAACTTTCAAGAAGCAGACTTTAAAACTATAAAGTTCTAATTGTTATAAGTAATGGCCGTTTAAGAGTTTGAAAGATATGGCCCTGTCCTAAACAATTTTGATTTTGTTAACAAAGAGAGGCAGTAACAAACTTCATGTCATGTATGTTTAATGTAATCAGGTGAAAAACGTAAAGGATCATCGGATTTATGTTATAATTGCCTGGCAAGGTATAAACAGAAGATATAGTTTTGGAAACAATCGAAGTTTTATGCACTTTGAAAAACTGAAGACCAGGGAATGCAGTTTTTATTATGTATGCATACTCTGTCACATGATTTTATTATACGTCAGGCATATGTGAAAACTATAAAAAAAATTCGAGCTTTTGATTAAGTACACCACAAGCGGATTTTTCTACACAATATTGTTAACCGAAGCTCGAATCAAAATAGGTGGAAGTCAAAATCAAGAATGAGGTTAAGAACATGCATTGAAAACCCAAATGCGTACACTCGTTAAAATGTCTAATAGTCCACAGTGTAAAGTGTAAGCAGATTGTAAAATTGCAAGACAGATATATTTTAATAATCAAGCAATTAGTGATGCGATATTTTTCCTCATACATACATTGCTACTTTGCCGGGGAGGGGGGGGGGACAGTTTTATTTAGTGTATAACCTTATAGTGAAATATCTATTTTGAGAAGCTTTGGCGTATCAAATCACATGAAGATTCGAAAACTTCTGTTAATCTTCTGTGATACTAAGTTTAAAGCAACTTGTAAGAAGTATCATAAATTATATGCTTTGTAATATTAATACATTTGAACAGACGAGGTTTTATTCGGTATTTTGATTATTTCAGGTCTTGATATAAATCTTCAAATTCCTTCCAAACGAGAATTAAACGTGCCTTAAATTTTAACATGAATTGATTCAACGAAAGTAAACAGTATTAGTTCCAGCATGTTAAACAATTTTTGGTATACTTAAATGTTACTTTGCACTGTTTCCGTTTTATTGACCATGTTTTCCCGTTCATAAATTCACAAAGAGAAAGGCAGACATACTCCTCTTAATTGGAAGCCTAAAAAGGCATCTCACTAATGTTATCACTTCTAATAGTTTACCAGTCATAAAATTCTCAAATCATTTGAAAGCACTAGGATATTTACACCCCAAATTATAAATCGGCGAAGCGAATTTTGCTTTTTAATGCTCTTCTTCATCGTAATTGATTTTTTTTTTAAATTACACACATTTTGATATCAGGGCTATTTATGAATCTGGTGTTGAGAAAAAAACCGTCTAGCATATTGAATGATAAGCCATTTATCTTTGATGAATGTTTGCTTTATCAAAAATTAATCGCAATACATAAATATATGTGTATACATACGGGATAGTATTCTCCTTCTGGTCCACGACATCCACATTGTTCTTTGGGCACACATTCATTTCCACTCAGGAGAAATCCTTCTTTACATTGACAACCTTCTGTATTTGGTAATCTGCATGTTAGTGGAGCATCTGGGTCCACACAAGTTCCTGGACATCCACTCCCAGAAGTAGTATATTCCATGTTATCTGGACATGTGAGTGCTAAAATAGGAAAATAACTATTTTAATGTTGTCATTTTAATGTTATATGTAACATTGCCATAAAAGCGGGAGGTTTGGCATGCCGCAAAACCAGGTTCAACCCACCATTTTTTTCTTAAAATGTCCTGTACCAAGTCAGAAAAATGGCCATTGTTATATTATAGTTAGTTTCTGTGTGTGTTACATTTTAATGTTGTGTTTTTGTTGTGTCGTTGTTCTCCTCTTATATTTGATGCGTTTCTCTCAGTTTTTAGTTTGTAACCCGGATTTGTTTTTATCTCTATCGATTTATGAGTTTCGAACAGCGGTATACTACTGTTGCCTTTATTTATCTTTTTTGACTGAAATGTTATATTTCTATCTCGATTCAGGTCTTCAGAATCGAAAAACTATATTATCATTGGAATGTTGCACACTACCTGGCACAATTTTTTACAATTTATATCGACGTTTAAATAAGTAACTAATTTTCAATATTTTTTCACTTCCCTTCTGAAAACAAATTGTGTAGGAAAAAAAAAGAAAATAAAACAATTACTTGAAGAAACATCATCACTTTCTCCTTAATTGATAAAAAATCATTGCATTAAACAACTTGAATACCGTTCATCAATACAACATATAATATATTTTGTAAACCAACTTATTTTCGCGGATACTTAATTTCGCGTTTTGCCATTTCAATTCGACTTCGCGGCGATTTATTTTTAGCGATGTTTTAATTTCATTAAATGTAATGTATTATCATAAGAGAAGATCGAAGTTTAACATATTTGCGACGATTTATATTCGCGTTATTTTTCTACTTGCAAAAGTCGCGAAAATTAATCGCTCGCAAGTAGTAGTTGGTTTACACTATTTGGTCAATTTGTACTCATATACACTAAGCATAAATCGACAGGTCTTCTTGGAAGGTGAATGAAATGCTTTTGGGTTTCAGTATTTTGATGAAAAAAATACACTTTTCTGTACGTTTGTAACGTCATTAAGACTAATTTCCTCATGTCGTCTCATGAAAATATGTAGTAATATGTCGAATGAGATGAAGGAACGAAAATAGTATTAAGATATTTGTGAATTTGTATACATACGACAAAAATCCCTTTTCCGCCAAGTTATTGATAAACCCATGTCTTCGCATTGTTCTTCATATCCCTCCAAAGACTCACAAATAGATTGCTCGAGTTCAGGTGATCCTTCTATACTACAGTAATTATATAGACAGGACTCATATAAATCCTTGGCCATATCCATATCTTTGTTCGCACAAGACATGAATGGGCTTTTTACATTTTTCGGATTCAATAAACCACAGTATTTATCGTCAGCGGCTTTACTGGACTGGTCTGCAGAACATGGTTCTTCTATTATAGGAACAACTACGCACCTGCAATATCATTTGATGATTTATCAGTTTAACCCTAGGAACTATTAAATCTCATTTTGTTTTAATATAATAAAAAAAAAAACACATAAAGAACATTTAAAATCGACAAAAGGATATCTTCAAAAATAACAAATCGTCACAAAGAAGAGAAAGATCTCTAAATGCTCTCTTTTTTCCCAAAAGTAATTTTTTTAAAGGAATAGAACCACTAATTCAGGCCGGTCGGAAAGTACATACAAGAAAGTAGTACATATTGTAAGCAAAATAGTTCCTACGCTTAGCTGTATCTGTGTCAATAGGTGAAATATTTGGGTAGTTTTGGTATTAAATGAAAGCTTGGGGACTTAGGATTGCTGTAGAACCTTTGTTGAAAGTTTCTTTTGAATTATAAAGAAGTATATAAAATTATAGTAGGAGGGCACATTTGCCCTGTTGTTCAGATCTGAAGTACCAGTTTTTGTACTATCAACCTTCCGGCACCCAGAATGCTCTAATATGCAATTAAAGGTATGTTGAATTTTTCAACAAACGTTAGGATAAGGTATAGTTTTGACATGAAATGACTGCTACTTTATTTGAACTTAAAACAAAATAGCCATTAATGCTTGAAATTGCAGAATTTAGCATAGAATGCATTGGGGCTCTGAATTAGTGGTTTTATACCTATTACTGAAAGACATGTGAAATTTAAATTTTAGAAATCATATCCATTACAATGCAAATTTGTCTCATTTGTTGTTAGTTATCTTGTTACATTATTTTTTTTTGTGTAACAATGATCATGGTGTCAAATTAAAGCCCTCAAATTCAGCCTTTTTTGGTCATTTAGCCGGCACACAGTTAAGATTTTACCTGAAGTTTATATTTTTGCATTAACTTACACTGAAACCAATGAAACATGGATATTATGACTGGTTGATAGTATAACTATAGCTTTTATTCAATTGATCTAGTGGGTGTTCATGTTTTATTAGGCTTCTCAGTGTATCATTTATTTCAAAGGAAATTGGTGTATACCTATATCATGTATATAGTAATTCCAAAATCCCACTTGAAATGCAGTTTATAATCAGTTTAGCAAGTTGTCTAGCTGTGAGATACATAATTTGTTCTTGTTGATCCATGTTTTTACATAAAAGTATGGTTTTTACCAAATCACTCTACTTTTTCAACATGTAGAAAAAAGGGGACACAATTATCAATTATATCTCATGTTTGGACCACTATATATATATTCAAGGAATAATCTCTGATAAAAAAAGACATATAGGTAAGAACATTGTTATTTGAGTAGATATAAACAAATAAGAACTGGTAAACATTGAAAAAGTCTCATATCTGTCATTATTAGTATCCATATGGAGTTTTCTATGTATAACGCATATGTTACTACCAGTCCAGTTTGAGCTTGGATTCATTGATATAGTGATATTCATTGAACTTAAGACAATAGCTTTATGTGTTTTTCTATGCTAGCAATAGATCATAGAAGGAAATTAAGTAAAGCAGTAGTCAATATAACAAGCTTGAATTCATTGATATAGTGATATTCATTGAACTTAAGACAAAAGCTTTATGTGTTTTTCTATGCTAGCAATAGATCATAGAAGGAAATTAAGTAAAGCAGTAGTCACTATAACATGTTTGAATTCATTGATATAGTAATATTCATTGAACTTAAGACAAAAGCTTTATGTGTTTTTCTATGCTAGCAATAGATCATAGAAGGAAATTAAGTAAAGCAGTAGTCAATATATCACGTTTGAATTCATTGATATAGTGATATTTTCTGAACTTAAGACAAAAGCTTTATGTGTTTTTCTATGCTAGCAATAGATCATAGAAGGAAATTAAGTAAGGCAGTAGTCAATATAACAAGTTTGGTGCTGTTATAGGTATAGAACCACTAATTCAGGCCCGGTCGGAAAGAACATACAAGAAAGTAGTACATATTTTAAACAAAATAGTTCCTATGCAAAGCTGTATCTGTGTCAATAGGTGAAATATTTTGGTAGTTTTGGTATCAAATGAAAGCTAGGGGACTTGGGATTACTGTAGAACCTTTGTTGAAAGTTTTTTTTTTTTTTAATTACAAAGAAGTATATAGTATTATACAAGAAGGGCACATTTTCCCTGTTGTTCAGATCAGAAGTACCGGTTTTTGTATTATCAAACTTCTGGCAACCAGTACACTGTAATATGCAATTAAAGGTATGTTGAATTTTTCAACAAACGTCAGGATAAGGTATAGTTTTGAAATGAAATGACTGCAATTTTATTTTAAATTAAGACAAAGTAGCCATTAATGCTTGATATTGCAGAATTTAACATAGAAAGCAATGGGGCTATGAATTAGTGGTTTTATACCTTAAAAAGTAACATGAGAATTAAACATATATGTCCAGCTAATGATAATATGACACATTACAATCAAGCAAAGCATTTTAGGTAAGTTATGTTGTTTGTTTGGTGAATCTCTGTTAATGAAGAGCAAGGAAAAGACAACCCATATTCTTTTGTTTACTTCCTATTCAATGAGAGTATCTATTACATATAATATCCAATTAAATCAAATGATAAGTAACAAAAGGACACATAACAGGTTTGAATTGTTTGTTAGCAATAGTTTGTAATGAATCCAAGCACATTTAAATCATATTTACTAGAACCACTTAGCTACTTGTCAATATAATATATATATAAGTTACCTTTAGCCTGGACAGTATGTCTTTTGTCTTTCATGTAATGTTTTTTTAATGTTGTTTGTCCTTTTGTCATTTATAATTTTACCATGGCCTTGTCGGTTTTAATTTAACTAATGACTTTTAAATGACTCCTATGTTTTTTGCTCTCTTTTCTTTATATCAATCTTATTAATAAAGTGTATATTTTAATGTTTACCTCAATAGCAGATAAATAACATTATAACTTATTAAGGATGTAAACTTCTGAGGAGCCAAACATTTCTAGAATTAAACTTTTTTTTCTTAGTCTGATGTTTATATGACTGTAAGAAAGTAACCGATGAAGAAAAAAGTATATGGTGGTGCACTTCCTTTTTTTGCTAAGGCCACTTGAAAGTACCCATTTTTTATGATTTTTCCATTTTTCATCAATTTGTACCCATTTTTGTGCTATTGTCATGAAAAAAATTACAATTTCACAATTAAACTTTTTTTCATACTTTCACTAAAGATGAAGTGGCCCAATCTGAATAAATTTAACTTAAAACATATTATAGGTTGGTGTTTATATTAGAAAGTTTTATACTATTTTGTTGCTTTTTCGTGTCAAATTGACCATGCTGTCAATTTTGTAAATTTCGGATTTTGCTCTTTTTTTTTACAACAAAAGGCATATTATTTCAACTTCTTTGTTTTAAATGATTAACAAAAATACATATCTAAGAGTTTGTTAAATAAAAATTTATATGGGATGTACATATCTTTGGTAAAACTCATTTGTTTTTACCCTCACATATTTTCGCAACATTTTGGCTGATGACACTTACCAGATTGGTTAAAAAATTTGATATTTTGAAATTCAAAAACTACTTATTGTAAGTACACAATTTGTTCACACAGTTTAGTTTGATTATAATATTTTTTATATTCATTGATATATTCCACTTGTATCACATGTTTTGGAAATAATTCCCGAACGAGATTTCAACGAGACTGAAACCTCAGAAGACTACATCCTTAAAAGAGAGCTTTTACAAAAATGGATAAGTTGCATTAACTTTTCACCTTTACACCAGTACGGGGAACTTTGCAAAATTTAAATTGTAAGTTTGGGATTGGCTTACTTGTTATCCTGTGTTTCATAGATTCCTGGAACTGTGTAGCTCTTTCCAATTAGCTCGAATTTGTCTTTCTTTAGACTAACATCCTCACCTGTTGCTGTTCTGAAATCGTCTTTCTTTCCGTTGCAATCACCACAAATACCAGTTACAATTCCCGCATATGTCTTTGGAACGGATACTGCCACGGTACCGACACCATTCCATGTTATCAATATGTTGCATTTTGTTTGTAGCCGTACATATCTTCCAGAAGTCGTAATTTCAAAGTTTGTACAAGAATAGGGAGTATAAACTTGAACGTCATTAACCTTATGATAAACAGACACATTATACCATTATAAACATATTGATTGCGAAAGACTAGCACAACATATATTTACAGGCGTACAACATGTACAAATGAAAATGAAAGAATCATTTAGCAACAGGTGAAAAAAAAAAACATGTAATTACTACTGATACTGCGACTGAAATATTGATCATTAGCTGATTTTTAGTATTTTTCATATATTGAAAGCGTTTATAAACGTTTTTCTAACGAAGAAGTAAAATAACAAATATACGGAACTCCAAGGATTATCCAAAAACAGAAAGTTTTTTATTAAATGGCAATTTCAAAAATGAATATGTATATCAGAACGATGATGCTTCTAGCAGTTGTTTTAAAGTAAATACATTTAATCATTATTTAATCTTTTAAAATTTATTACCGTATAATAACGTCTACGCCAACTGATTCCTGCTGGATGTGTGTCTCATTGGCAATCATTTCTCATCTTCTTAATTTTATATCAGTATATAGAGTATATCACTTTGTATTTTCGAATTTGACGGGATATACAGTAATGTACGTGTTTTTCTATGCGTCACACAAGTTTCGCTCGACCGTATTGTTTTGAAAAATAAACACAATATGTAACGGATAATTTTATTCTAGTTATTGTACAATTTACCATTAATAGACCTATTCTGTTGAGTTATAAGATATGTACCTGAATAACAAAACTTAACATTTTCATGATCGAAAAAATAGGAGGTGACTTGTATAAACTTTTTTTATCTTGTTTTGTCTATCTTTGTTTTCATCGCTATTTTAAGAATTTTTCCTTTGATCTTGCTGACTGATAATTTCCGTTCTCAGCGGAGTCGAGTGATATGAAAACGGAGTTGAGTGATATGAAAATTATCGCTAGAA